AGTCCTAGTTCTTTGAGGTATCTCCATACTGATGTCCACAGTGGTTGCACCAGTCTGCACTCCCTCTTGGTGATTTTCTTGATACTGTGTCATCTCTGTCACAGCCTTAGATTACTGTCCATTCTTTCTTTTTTTTTCTTGAGACAGAGTCTTAATAAGCTACCCAGGCTGGGCTCAAATTTACGATCCTCCTGCCTCAGCTTCCCAGAGTGGTGGGATTACAGGTCCCATGGTTGGCTATTCATACTACTTTGTCTCCTGCCCCAAAAGGGTGGCCCTTTGAGTGGGCTCCTATCAAAGATGTGTCTTGGGCTGGGATTTAGTTCAGTGGTTCCACTGCCTGCCTCGCAAGCACAAGGTGCCAAGTTCAATCCCTGGTACAAAAAAAAAAAGATGTCATCGCTTCTCAGCCTTTTGGCTAAGATCAAGTGTAAAAAAAAAAAAAGATGTGTCCTGTTGTCAAGTCCATACTTTTAAGTCAGCTCCTCAGCCTGAGTTTCTGTCATGGTATTGTCAGTATGAAAGACTTGAAACTTTATAGGCTACCACTTGTGTGATGCCTTCTGTGTACTGGGAACATTGCCAGGTGTTTGCTGAGCTATAGCCTTAACTCTTCTTGAAATTTTGTTTGGACAGGGTCTTACTAAGTTGCCCAGGCTGGCCTCAAACTTTTTTTTTTTTTTGGTACTGGGGATCGAACTCGGGTCCTTGCGGTTGCACAGCAGACAGTGAAACCACTGAGCTAAATCCCCGGCCCTGGCCTCAAACTTTTGATTCTCCTGTTTCAGCCTCCCGAGTAGCCAAGGTTATAGGCGTGCATCACCACATCAAGCCATTTTGAATGTTTCATTAATAATTTCAAGTATTCATCAGAGCTCCACAAAATGAGCATTCTATACAGATGAGGACACATTAGTTCAGAAAAATTATATGACTAGCCTCTGATTGTACACCTGGTAAATGGCCACACTAGGATCTAAACTTGGTTCTCTCTGCTATACCATTTTTTAAAAACCAAATTACATTCTTTTGCTGAAGAACAAAGAATTGTACCAGAGCTTATCGATAAGGTGCTTTTAGCTATTTGTATAGTAAAGATGTCAAGAAAGTATTAACTTGACATTAGCCATGACTTACTATTGCAAATGTTAGAAGCAGCAAAAGGTAAGGGAAGTCTTTATTTTTATTTCTTTAATAGGAAAAAGCTTTAATTAGAAAGTAAGAGAAAATAGGAAGGGACTTTAGCCTGAGGAGCCGACAAAGATCAGTTTGGCCCTTCACAAAGGGGAATAAGAAAAATAGGAAAGGACTCCAGCTTGAGCAGCTGGAAAGGTTCACTCTGATAAAGGGGATCTGACGGGCCCTGTGAGGAAATTCACAGACCTCTGCGATGACCATTCCAACTCGCCCCCTGCCCCCCTTTCCCCCAAGGTTGTCGGTTCCATGCCAACTGCGGGGAGCGCCGGCTCTGTTCCTGAAAACCTGAACCTGTTTCCGGAGCCAGGGAGCAAATCAGAGGAAGTGGGCAAGAAACAACTCTCTAAAGACTCCATCCTTTCGCTGTATGGATCGCAGACCCCACAGATGCCTCCCCAAGGTAGAGTCCATAGAGTCATGGTATGTGGCAGGGAGAGACATGAGGACTAGATGAAAGAATTATTTGTTGTGACAGGGACAGTTACTTTGGGGACAGGGACATCATACACCAGATAAGCCTGAACATGGCATTACTGGTGACATCACAGGGTATTAGTAGACAGATGTTAATGTAACCCAGAGCCGTACTTCTGTCCCACCTCCGTGAAATCTGTCTCAAGGTCTGGATTTCCCCTGACAGGGAAGTGGCAGGTGCCTCACAGGTAAGCCACAGTAAGTCTTGTAGGGAATCTGGCTGCTTTGCTGTGTAAAGCAGCATTCAGAGCTGAGTAATTTTGCAAAATTCTAACTAGAGAGAAGTAGCCAGTTAATGTGGGCTAACTTTGTGTCCTTTCCTCTTTAACAGATCAATACATGTGTTTTCTTGGCAGCAATGTTCATGGCTCCTGCTCAGATGGCATATCCCACAGCCTACCCCAGCTTCCCTGGGGTAACACCTCCTAACAATATCATGGGGAGCATGATGCCCCCACCAGTAGGCATGGTAGCCCAGCCGGGAGCCTCTGGAATGGTTGCCCCCATGGCCATGCCTGCAGGCTATATGGGTGGCATGCAGGCATCAATGATGGGTGTGCCAAATGGGATGATGGCCACCCAGCAGCCTGGCTATATGGCAGGCATGGCAGCTATGCCCCAGACTATGTATGGGGTTCAGCCAGCTCAGCAGCTGCAGTGGAACCTTACTCAGGTAAGCAACCCCATTTTACCTGGAACACAACTTCTGCACCTTCCCCAAGTCTCACTTTTTGACTTTCTCTTATCCTATGAATCCTTTCCATGTAGATGAGATAATCCCAGTGACATTCTTAGGTTGGTTTGTTTTTCCTAGAAGGCCTATCTAACGTCAGACTTTCTAAGCAGTTCTGAGTTCCTGTAAAGTAAGGGTAATTGCCTAAATCTGAATTTCTCCATATCTTCTTAAAAAGACAAACAAACAGGGCCAGGGATTTAGCTCAGTGGTGCTGCTGCCTGCCTCAAAGGCACAAGGTCCTGAGTTCAATCCCTGGTACAAAAAAAAAAAAAAGACAATATATTCCAGAAAAACATATATGTAGACAAACAAGAAATTCCAATAAAACCACCATAACCTACTGCCAACACTATAAAAAGCCAAAAATGGCATGGCATTAGGTATAGAAAAACCCAGATCCAGTAGAGCCAGTGCATTAGTCACTTTCCCATCCCTGGGACAAAATATGCAACACCCACAATTTAAAGGATGAGAGGTCTGTTTTGGCTCATGGTTTTAGAGGATTCAGTTCATGCTCATGTGGCTCCAAGGTAGAAATGCTATAGTGGTAGGGCTTGATCAGAGGACAGCAGTGCATCTCATGGCAGCCTGAGAAGCTGAGAGAGAATGGAGGAGCCAGGAACAGGAATACATTTTCCAGGTCACATCCGCAGGGACTGATCTCCAACCAGGTCCCACCTTTTAACAGCATTCAGCTGCTGAACTCATCCATGGATGAATCCAGTCACCTTCCAAACACATGAGACTAACAACCAGCTGCCTAGAGAAGACTGTGCAAAGAGGAGGGGGACTGCCTGCCTGCCTGGCAAGCGCAGAGTGCCAAGTTTGATCCCCAGTACCAAAAACAAAAAAAAAGAGGGGAGGGAGCAGGGGCCTGGAGATGATAAAGTTCATGCCCTATAAGGAGGAAGACATACCCTAATGAAGACATACTAAGGACAGGTCTGAGACTTGGTAGATTAGAATGCTGTTTACTTGGGGGATCAAAAATAAGAGAGTAGGGCCGGGGATTTAGCTCAGTGGTTCCACCACCTGCCTCACAAGCTCAGGGTCCTGAGTTTGATGCCGGTACCAATAATAATAATAATAATAATAATAATAATAATAATAATAATAATAAGGGACTAGCCGGTGCAGGCCTGTAATCCCAGCACTCAGGGAGGCTGAGGCAGAAGGATCTCTGAGAGTTCAAGGTCAGCCTGGGCTACATAGTGAGTTCAGGGCCAGCCTAAACTAACAAAGGGAGACCCTGCCTCAAAAAAAGAGAGAGAGTTGGGGATTTAGCTCAGTGGTTCTACCGCCTGCCTGGAAAGCTCAAGGTCCCGAGTTCAATCTCTGGTACAAAAAAAAGAGAGAGAGAGACTAGAAACGCATAGGATTATAGCTTTGGAAAAGCATTGCATGTTGGGGAGTAAATATGATGTAGCAGGAAGAGGGATTCTTTGGAGATGTGGTAGAGAAGGGAAACAAATGAGAAATGAAAGAGTCTCAAAATCAAAGAGGTTAGGCTAGGTGTGGTGGTGCACACCTATAATCCCAGCATTTGAAAGGCTGAGGCTGGAGGATTGCTGTGAGTTTAAGGCCAGCCTGGGTTACATAGTTCAAGGTCAACCTGAACTATATAGTGAAGCCCTGTCTCAAAAACAAACAAAATCAGAAATTATACCATCCTTCTTCCCCCACATAATCATTTCACTAACAGAAGAGGGTACTCTTGAACTCAGAAATCTAGTAAGCCTTCCCCAACCCTCACACCTGTCTGCATTACTGCTGATTCAGAAAAATAAAGCACTACGAAATAAGTAGAATGTGGCTGATGGCATTTATACAAAACTACTTCGAGAAGAAAATAGAAAAAAAATCAAAACATTTCAGGTAGCCAAGTGCAGTGGTACACAGCTGTAATTCCAGCTTCATGGGAGGCTGAGACAGGAGGATCACAAGCTTGAGGTCAGCCTGGGCAACTTAGTGATACCCTGTCTCAAAATAAAGAACAAGAAGGGGTGGGATATGACTTTAAATTATACTTCAAAGCTACAATGATAAAAAACAGCATGGTACTGGCAAAAGAACAGACCTGAGGATCAGTGGAACAGACTAGAGGACGAAGAAACAACTCCAGACACACTCAGCCACTTTATCTTTGACAAAGGAGCCAAACACCTTCACTGGAAGAATGATAGCTTCTTTAGTAAATGGTGCTGGAAAAACTGACTTTCCACATGCCAAAGATTGAAACTAGACCCATATCTTTCACCATGCACTAACCTAAAATCGAAATGGATCAAAGATCTAAATATTAAGACAAAAACGCTAAATCTGCTGGAAGAGAGACTTAAGTAGAATGCTTAAGGACATAGGAGTAGGCAATGACTTCATGAACAAAACCCAGACCTCACAGGAAATACTACAAAGAATCAGCAGCTGGGGCCTCATCTTACTAAAAAGCTTTTGCACAGCAAGAGAAACCACTAGCAGAATGAAGAGACAACCCATAGAGTGGGAAAAAATTTTTACCAACTATTTGGATAAAGGACTATTATTTAGAGTATATAAAGAACTCAAAAAAATCAGATCCCCCAAATTTAAAGACCCAATCCAAAAATGGGCATCTGAAATAAAAAGACACTTCTCAGATGAAGAATTAGAAACAGCAAATAAATATATTAAAAAATGTTCAACATCACTGGTCATTTGTGAAATGCAAATTAAAATAATGGTGAGATTCCATCTCCAGAAAGAATGGCTGCTATCAAGAAATCAGCCGGAGCCAGGGATATAGCTCAGTGGAAGGGCAAGGTCGTGAGTTTGATCCCTAGTTGCCCGGGGTGGGGGGGTGGGAATCAACCAATAACAAATGCTGCAGGGGCTGTGGGGAAAAAGGAACCCTTCTCCACTGCTGGTAAGAGTGTAGACTGGTGCAGCCGTTGTGGAAATCAGTGTGGAGATTTCTCAAAAAACTAAAACTAGAGGTTCCATTGATCCAGCTGTATCTGTTCTTGGTATCTTCCCGAAAGAATTAAAAACATCTGGGCCAGAGATTTAGCTCAGTGGCACCATGCCCGCCTGACAAGCACAAGGTCCTGAGTTTGATCCCTGGTACAAAAAAAAAAAAAAGAATTAAAAACACATCACAGTGATATATGTGCATCCATGTTTATAGCAGCACAATTTGTAATAGCTAAATCTTGGAAACAGCCCAAATGCCCATCAAGATAAAGAACATGTGATTTTTTTTTTATACAGTGGACTAGTACTCTGACATAAAGAAGGATGCAGTTCAGACATTTATAGCTCAGTGCGTGGACCTTGAGATCATACTCTTTAAGTGAGAGAAATACTGCATTGTTTTCTCTGGTGTGAGAAACTGTAAGTGGAAATAAGGACTGAGATGTATAATGGATGTTGGGAAATGGGAAGAAAGTGTTCAGATGGGAAGAGGAACAATGGGAAGAGGGAGGGAGAAAGTGCCAGGGCCTGTGTGGCTGAAGGGTTTGAGTGAGAAAGGAAGGTGGGAGATTAAGGAAGACAGATAATAAGGTGGGGCCAGGTGGGACTCTTAACTCCCCTGGGAGAAAAAGACCCCAGGCAAATGGCCACTCCTTTATTTGTGGTGGTAGAGATTAGGGAAGTGCCTAGGAGGTAAAAGGGCTGGTCTGTAACCTGAGCCCGGAGAGTAGCTAAGGTCTGCCCGATGTCATGCCTGATGGTTTTTTGGCAAATGGGTGGGGAGGAAGACAGTCCTCCTGTCAGCCAGGCCTTTTTTTTTTTTTGAGGGACCCTGTCTGGTCCACGGGAGGAAGCGAACAAGATGTGTGTTCCTTCTTCTACCCAGGGCCCTGCCTTATTTGCAGGAGAAGGTGAGTTAGGCCTAGCCGTAGTGATTCTACAGCGCAGCACTCCCAGCAAGAAAGGAAGGAAAAGACAAAAAAAGTGAAAATAAAAGGAAAAAATGGAAACAAAGCTTTTGTACATAGGGATGGGAGGGGACTTGAGCGGGGAAAGGGATAAAATAAAATGTGTTAAAATTTTAAAAACCAAGTGTTTCGCCTTGGGCAGCCCACCCCCCTCAGATCACACCCGTCCCCTGTGTGTTCTGGTACAGATTAACTCGGCAACTATTTTCTGAAATCCAAGTTTATGTCATCTTGTTCTCACATGATTCGCAAGACTTTGTCTTCTTTCAAGGCTAAATTACAAAACCACCTTTGTCTTGTTTCTGTAAACTCGCCTGCTGCGTCACTACAAAGACCAATCCCTTCAACCAAATGTATAAAACTGGACCCTTTCCTTTTTTCTCTGCTTTTCCTTTGGACCTTAGTTTGTTGAGCTGGTGTTCACCTAACCCTAAAATAAAGTCCTGTTCCACGCCCCCCAAAAAGGGAGGTGGGATATAGCTCAGTGGTAGAGCACTTGTATAGCATGCACAAAGCCCTGAGTTAAATTCCCAGCACTGAAAAAAGAAAGATGTCAGGTAGTAAAAATTCTTCTTCCAAAATGTCATGAAGTAGAAAAAAACTGTTGCATAGTCCACCAACTTGAATAAAATGTTATTAAACAACTGGTAGAACTTCTATAAAAGGGAAGGGGACCAAGAGGTGGAAGGGGGAGGGAGGGAAGGGGAAGGTGGTTAAAAAAAGAATTGAGATGTGTTATGAACACATACTGACCATCGTGTACTACAAACACGTGCTAATAAAAAATTGGCAGATAAGACAAAACAGGTTGAGTCAGAAATTCAAACACTTAGAACTAAAATGGACAAAAAACTAGACACTTAAGAAAGCTTACTGAAGTCAGAAAACAAAAATCATATTAGAAATAAATACTGATGCACAAGTAGCCAAAAGAGGACAGAAACACTGGAACATACATATGTATGTCATTGAGAAAAGACATAAATCAGCTAAGAGAATAAAAATTAAATATAGATAGGAGTAATACAGAAAGTAGGCAAAGAAAGCCTAACATACATATATTTGGAGATACCCAAAGAATAAAAACAGAAGAGGGGACAGGATTAATATACTTCTAACTATAAGTGCAAGAAAACTTTCTTGAAATAAGATTTGAATACAATATTTAAAGAGCCCACTGTGACCCTGGGAAAACTGACCCAGAACAGTCAACTCTAAAACATCCTAGGAAACCTTTAGACTTTACAAAACAAAACAGTCCTCAGGGCTTTAGCTTCTTAGTGTTTTCCACCCCTTACCCTACAAAAATATGTCACCAAAACAAAACAAAAACACCCAGGTTGACAGCAGACTTCCTAACAGCAACCGTGGACAACAAGGAGAGTACTATCTTAGGACACTAAAGCATGTGCAGATATTTTATAGTCAGTCAAGCTATCCTTCTATGAAGGCTATAAAAAAACATATAAAAATTCAGGAAATAACATGCTTACTAGCCATTCCCAAGGAATCTAACAGGATAAGCCTTATTCACCCACCAGGTGATGATGGATGTTTGTGGAAGGACTGATAGTTAGCATTGAATGTTTAATTGAGAATCCAAGACTAAAAGGTTGTGATGAGGGTAGAATACATGTTGTATTCTGACAACAATACAACTAAAAATAATAGAAGGGAAAGGGAGAAAAAAGGAGGAAAGTATAAGTTAATTGTTAACAAAAGAAATAGAAGTCAGAGGATATATATAATAAGCCCTCGAGCCAAATCATAGATGTTTGAGTCAGGGAAAAAGAGGCCAGGACATTGTAAACAGTATTACTATAAAGATGATCACTAGACCAAAAATGGGAAATTTTCTGAATACCAGAAGAATTTTTCAAAACAGAAAATAGAATCCATAAATTACAAATTGTGGCAAATACAAACACAATAAAATATGACAATTGCAAGCAAATGTATCACTCATATCAACAGGTGACTCCTCTTATTAGGAGAAAAAGATGTTCAAGTTGGTTCACAGAGCAGCACCGAACTGAACTGAATACTTACACAAAGAAGTAGAGTGAAGCAAAGTCATTCAGAGAGAAAATGAAGGGATGGGCAAAGGAATATAGAGAAGTGGTGTTTGTATACACATGCTATCTCCATCAGAATCAGTATGAGCACTGTCCTTGATTTATCAAAAGTCATGTTTATTTTGTTTTGTTTTTTGAGACAGAGTATTGTGTTTCTCAGGTTGGCCTCAGATTCCTGGGCTCCAGTGATGCTCCTGCCTCAGGCTCCTGAGTATCTGGGACAAGAGGCAGGTGTCACCGTGCTAAACTTATAAAAAGTTTTTGCTGTTGTTTTATTTTGTGTTTTTGCCATCTCAAAGAGGTTTTATTAGAACTCTTGCTGCAGAATAAGGGGGAACAGTGCATGAGCTAACTCTATATAAGATATTTTTGTGTTTCCATTTTCTGTAGTCTGGAATAATTTATATAGTATTGGTCTTTGAAGTTCAGTAGAATTCCTGTTTGAAATTGTGTGGCCCTGTTTTGCTGTGTAGTAATTCCTCTATAGTTTTTTCTTTTTCTTTTATGAAAGTCACTTTTGAAAACTATTTACTTAGATTATCCATTTCATCAGAGTTTTCAAATTTATCAAAAGTTATGCCAGTTAGGCTTGTTAATTTTTTTAAATTACAGAATTTTGATCTGTTTATTGGCTCTACATTTCTCTGTTTCTACCTGGAATTTTGGTTTATTTTTACTGATTGCTCCCATGTACTTCTTTCAGTTTATTATTCTTTTTCTAGCTTTCATAGTTGGGATTTTAATTCACTTATTTTCTTCTTTGATTTTTATTTATATAAATAGGAAATGCTATAAAACTGATGGGGACATGTCTAAAGGACACACAAGCCAGTTTCTAGAGCTCCCACTGGCCAAATGGACACAATTTGAACATCAAAAAGAAGAACCATAATGGATCTAATGGATTCTAATACACTGAATAAAAAGAACTATGAATCCATAGTAATATTAAGCAGAAAAAGGGAGTGTGGAATAGGGGAAGGGAAAGCCTTCTTTACAAAAGAATAATAGCCAATAATTGTAGAAAGAACAGGGTATTTGTACACACTCAGATTACCTAATTATAGTTTTGAAAATACAGTAGAAACTTTAGCCAAGAATAAATTAATATCACGTGTTTCTTTTCTTTCTTTTTTTTTCGTACCGGGGATTGAACTCAGAACCTTCTGCTTGCGAGGGCAGGCACAAGGCCATTGAGCTAAATCCCTGCCCCATATCATGTGTTTCTTGATATCTTGTCCTGAGAAAGATACAATATCCTATGTAGAATTCTTGCCAAAAATATGTAACTTGAATCCAGTGTTGAGAAAACATGAGATAAATACACATCAAGAGATATTCTGCAGTATAACTGACTTGGAGTCTTTAAATATGTCAGTGTTGGGGGAAAGAGGAAGAGTGGTGGGGGAACTGTTGTAAGTTAAAGGAGACTAAGATGAAAAGGAAATGTCTATTTAGAATATTGTATTAATATTTCTCTAGGGCAGTGATGGTGAACCTTTGGAGACAAGTGCAACCTAAAACCCACTTATTGCAAAGTGCCAACACTGCAATTAAATCTGATACTGAGGTTTTTATTTAGAAAAAACTACTCATACATTAACATCTTTTGTCTTAAAAACAACATGTGTGCCATACGTTCACACCACTGCTCTACAGTATCAATGGTATTGTGGTTCTAGAAAAGTGTCCGTTCTTACAGGATTTCTCCTGACTTATCAAGGGATCTGTTGTCACAATGCTTGCAATTTTGGATACTCATCAAAATTGTAAACTTTTTGTAAATGGGGAAGGAGAATATGGAAAAGTGTTAATAACTGGTGGATTAAAAGAAAAGATATGACTTTCATTATACTATTCTTACAGTCTTTCTGTAAGTTTGAATTTCTTTTTTAAGTTAGTGGAAGAAAATAGACCTTCTGTAAAGAAAATGTACTATGCTCAAGAAATTTGAGGCTTTTTCTTTGACAAATTGTTCGGTTGATGCCGAGGAGCCAAGTCTTTTGATCTTATCAGGAAGAGGCCAGGCCTCATAACACTGACTCTTCTCTCAGCTCCTCCTTTTCACACACAGGAGACACCTTTGTTCTCCTCCCGCCTCTGTTGTTAATTTCCAATGGTTCAGTTGCTTTTCCTCTTTCCCTCTGCAAACCGGGGCTTGCACGGCCCGGCCCGGCGTGATTGCCCTCTGCTGGAGAAGAGGCGCACTGGAGTGGGGACTTGGCATCGGAGTTGGCTGTGGCAGTTAAGGAAAGGCCTTAGGGTGGTTAGGACGAGGGGCTGAAAAGTAAGAAAAGAGCTTCTCATTCCACTTTCCTGCTGCCGAGGCCCACGATGCCTTCTTTCCCTCTCTTTGTTTTCTAACAGCATTCCCCTCCTGCAGAGTGTCACAAACAGTCTCGTGTGCTTGCAGTGCTCTGGCAAGGTGCAGGGCTGTCGTGTACCATGACAGTTTCCCTTTGTCCCCTTCTCCCCACCCTGCAGACAGGACTCCTTTTGCACTAATTGGCTAGATGCCCACAGCCTGGTCTAAACTCTCCTCTTTCCCTTACAGATGACCCAGCAGATGGCTGGGATGAACTTCTATGGAGCCAACGGCATGATGAATTATGGACAGTCAATGGGTGGTGGAAATGGACAGGCAACAAGTCAGACTCTCAGTCCTCAGATGTGGAAATAAAAACAAGACACCTGTTTGGCTGCCAGTCTCTTCCTCCCTCACTCTCCCCCTCTCTCCTTTCCCCTGCCCCCTCTCCTACTCCCATTCCCTTTTCCTACCTCTCTGTTTGGTTTAGAAATTGCTCAATAAGTCATTTGGGGTTTGGCATCTTGCCCAACCCAGCCACTTCCCAAACACGCAGACCTCTCTGTTGCTTTATGTTGTTCATGTCAAAAGCCATCCCAACACCTTCCCAGCCACAGCCCTTATTCTATCCTGCACCAGCACCTTAGAAATTGTTGGGAGAAGGCACTTAAACTTCAGGGGAAAATGTGCACATCTTTCAATACCTTCCCTCACGGTTGAACCCCTGTCAGGCCCTCACGAAGGTATGGAGGTGCTCAGTATGAGGCAGAGAAGGAGGAGAGCAGAGGTCGTCCTTCTCTACATGTTAGTGAGCTTGTTTCCAAGTGTTTAAACTTTTGACTGAAGAGGAAGGCATCCTGTTCCCATGCTTTACAGGAGCAAAGAAACAACTGCAATCACATTAAACACTTCTCCAGTCCGGGATCAGGTTGACCCTAGCCTTGGGGTGAAGCGAACCCCAGATGAGCAAAATTACTACTCTGCTTTGCTCTGAGTTGCTTTCCGGGTCTAGGGCTTCAGCACTCGCTGCTTCAGTCACCTTTATTAGCACCAAAGACTCTGAAGGTCCCCACACACACACACACAATATACACACCCCTCACCTGCCTCCTGCCCACCTTCAGCAGGATCCAGCCCCTTGGTGGGAACACAGAGCTGCGAGTGTGCACTGCTTGTGTGCGTGTACATGTGGATCCGGCATTCCACCCCCTCCCCATTTGCTTTGGTGGTTTTTGTTTTTGTTTTAGGTTTACAACAGAGAGGAGTTAATTTATCAAAAGCTAAAAAACTGTTGCCAGTTTTTCTTACAGTTTAAAAAAATTGCTATCTCGTTGATTGCTCCCTGTCTCCTTTCCCTTCCCCCTCTGCCAGTCACCCTTTCATGCCCCCTGACCCGAATGCTCTGTTGCCCACCTTTTCCAGGTGAAGAGGCAGAGAGCCTGGGCAGCAGTCCTCTCAGCCCTTGTTCATTCCATCTGAAAATTCAAATAAGAAAACTTTGCTTAAAAGATTTCATGTGTGGGAACCATAATGCCTGGTTGCCTTTCTCCTGTGTATGTGTAAATTCCTCAATAAATATTGCAGGGAAGGACCATTCGCTTGACTGGCTGCTTCTGTGTGTCATTCTCGGAGGAGGGAGAGGCACACATAGGTTTTCTGTTTTCTAGGACAATATCTTTTCTTTTTAAGGGTCTTGCTAAGTTGCTTAATTGCTCAGGCTGTGCTTGATTCTCCTGCCTCAGCCTCCCAAAGTGCTGAGATTACAGGTGTGCACCACAATGTCCAACCTTCACTTGTAATTTAAAAAATTCTGTTCTTCATATACCAGGGGCCAGGCCCCAGCCTGAGTGGTCAGAAAGGGGCCGTCTCTCCTGGTGTGTCTAGAATTGAGAGGTGAGGGAACTGGAGCTCTGTGCACATGAGGACCACAGAACCTCAGGATTAAGAGCATGTTTTCCCCTCAGATGGAGAAACTGAGGCCCAGGGGGCCACTACAGAATACTTGACAGGGCCCACACTTGGTCCAAGAATCTGGACTTCCACTCCCTTGTTCTTCCTCTATACCTTGGTAATAAGGAGCTTTAAGCTCTTCTCTGCCAAGATAGGAGCTTTAGTGAAGGTAATTCATGCCCCCCCCCATAATCTGTCAGAACAAGGGGAGCTGGACTTCTGCACCAGTGGATTATGTGAGCTGAGGGGAAACCTTCCTGAGAACAGTGGTGCTTTAGATGAAGGTTAGAGGGAGAGGGAGTGGTACTCAGTGGGGTGTGTGTGTGTGTGTGTGTGTGTGTGTGTGTGTGTACTCCAGACAGCACCCTGTGGACAAAATGCTGCAAGAACATGAGTCACTATTTCTAAGCTATGATGTGAGTGTGTGGTGTGAGGTGAGACTGAGGTAGGGCTGGGCTGAGCCATGGGGGGACTTCGCATACCCTATGAAGGAATTTAGCATGTAGTGTGAACAAGGAGATGACATGGTCAGACTTGAGTTCCAGGTGGCTCACTCTTGCACTGTTGTGTATGCAGTGTATTTGAGGAAACAAGACCAGCACTAGGGGACCAGAGAAATGGCAAGAGCTGAACTAGGGCCATGGTAGCGAGGATAGAGGAGAATGGAGTGACTTAGAGCAGCATTTCATGACCAATTATAAGGCACATTAGATACCACAAGGTGTTCCTTAGACTTGCTAGAATAAGTGAAAAGCCAGCTTGTCATATCACCTATTTTATATTTGGAATACGATATCCACACAATAATGCCTCTGAGAAGTGTTTCTTTTCATAGTTTTCTAATATTTACCAACAATTATTTTACCAGGGAATCCATTTTTCTGGCATGCCTAATAGCCATGGAGTACTATTTGGCAAAGCAACTAGCAAAAAGGTGGAGGTTGAAAGGTCTCAGGAATGGGTGATATACAGAGTAAGGGGAAAGGAAGGAGTCCAAAAAAGTCTGAGTTTCTAGGTTAGGTGAAAACTTACAGAAGGAAGAAAAGTAAATAATTGGAAGTTTAGGGCTGGGGATTTAGCTCAGTGGTTCTGGCACCTGCCTTGCAAGTTCAAGGTCCTGAGTTCAATCTCCGGTACCAAAAAAAAAAAAAAAAAAATAATAATAATAATAATAATAATTGGAAGTTTGGGTTTTGGCATGTTGAAGTTGAGTTGCCTAGGATATATCCAGGTCTGGTTGATCAGCTGGAAACAATTTCAGAGTCTGAGGTCCAAGGAAGAGGCTGGGCTGGAGAAATTGAGAGCTCCATGGAAGTGGTGGTTGATGCCATGGGAGGGGGTGGATGGGATCACATAGGGTGGATTTGTAAAATAAAAGCAGTATGCTGGGCACAGAAACATGTGGAAAATACTCCATAGGAGTTGAGGAGGGGGTGGTAGTGAGGAGGAAGCCAATCACGGAAAACAAGACAAAGGATAATGCCAGCCAACCACAGGGACTAAAATATCTAGGAGAGATGACCATAAATGTTAAATCAGCAAAGAAGTCCTGTGAGATAAGGGTTGATGAAAGGACTATTGAATTCAGCAGTTGGAAACTTCCACAAAAGCAGTGTCAGTGGAATAGTAGGGCCCAAAGCTAGATTATAATGGGCTGAATTAACTGATAAAGTAAAGAAACAAGCTCTATTAAATATACGAGGTGTGACCAAAATATGCAGAGAATGTTTAAAAAATTACAGTAAAAGACACATTGACATTAATCCCCTTAAAATACTCTCCCTCACCTTTAACACATTTATTTTATCATTCTTGTCACTTTCTGAAGCAGTTCTGGAAGTCCTCTTGTGAGTTGCTTTATGACGTACCAAAAATGTGAATGCTGCTGCCAAGTGCCATCCAGTGGAAAAGCAGGCTAGTAAAACATTACCATGTGTCCTCTTCCACCCTGCTCACCAGATCTGGCACTGTGCACCTTTCATACGTTTTCAACAGCAAGATGACCATGAAAAACAAGTGTTTTGAATTAATTCAGGGCATCAAGGTAACCACAACAGCACAACTAAAGACATTCACGAAAGAGGACTTCCAAAAGCACTTCAGAAAGTGACAAGAATGATGAGATAAGTGTGTTCAAAGTGAGGGAGAGTATTTTGAAGGGGATTAATGTCAACGTTTTTTACTGTAATATGAAAATTTTAAATTCCAGCATTCACCATGTTTTTAAAAATCACACCCTGTATATGGGAAGCTTTTAAGAATAGAAAGAATGTAAATAAATTCCAAACCAATAAAGAGGAAAACATTGGAGTAAGAAAATTCGATTGGGCCAGGCATTGTGACATACACCTATAATCTCAGAACTCTGGGAGGCTGAGGCAGGAGGATCCCAACTTCAAACCCAGTCTAGGCAATTTAGTAACTTAGCAAGACCCTATCTCAAAGGAAATCATAAAAAAAAGGGGAACTGGGGATGTACCTCAATATAAAGACCCTGAGTTCAACCCCCAGCACCAGAGATGAAGCAAGGGAGTCCTAGATATGAGCTGTCTGCCTTCCCTGAAGAAAAAGACAAAAATTCAATTATTTTTCTTATATATATATTTTTTAATGTGGTGCTGGAGATCAATCCCAAGACCTCACACATTAGTCAAGCACACTACCAATGAGCTATATTCCAGTCTCCCAGGCACATATTGATTTATGAAGGTAGCAATGCAAACAGTGAATTGAAGGAAGTCTCTCTCTCTCTCTCTTACTGATACTGGGGATCAAACCCAGGGCCTTTGCACTGAGCTACATCCCAGCCCTTTTTATTTTTTTTATTTTGAGACAGGGTCCACCAATCATTAATTTGCCCATGGTAGGCCCGATCTCATAATCCTCCTGCCTCAGCCTTCAGAGCAGCTGCGGGAATAGGTATGCCCCACAACCCTTGGCGTGAATGGACCTTTGAGCAACAGCATACAGCAGCTATGGCAGTGCACAACTCCAAGGCCAGGCTGTTAAAGGGCAACATGACTTCTTCCAGCCTCTCTATTGGGTCACTTGCCCTTTCAGCCTCGTCACCAAACCACAGGCAGAGGTCACATTTGGTGTTCTGGCCAACAGCCCCAGGAAAGCCCACATGATAGTGACTGTGCTTTAGGACAATTCCAGCCGTTGGCTTCAAGTCTTCCAAATAAGCCTCTGGCATCATGGAGCAGAGACATGTGATCTACACATAGCTAGTCTAATTCCTGACTCAAGAAAATTGTGTGAGAGAAGAAATAATTATGGTTGCTGTAAGCAGTAAACAATGGACAACCTACAACATAATCCACGAAGAGTCCTGTCATGCCAATGAATTATTTGAGACATGTTAGGATAACTTTTAGGAACAAGATGAACATGATGACACACACCTGTAACCCCAGTCCTCAAGAAGCTGAAGCAGGAGGACCATTGTGAATCTGAGGGCAGCCTGTGGTACATAGTGAGTTCAGTGCCAGCCTGAACGACAGAGCAACACCCTGTCTCAAAAAAAACCAAGGAGGGCTGGGGATTTAGCTCAGTGGTTCTGTTGCTTGCCTTTCAAGCACAAGGACCCCGAGTTCCATCCCTGATAGCAAAAAAGAAAAAGACAAGAGGAGGAGGATGAAGAAGAAGAAGAAGAAGAAGAAGAAGAAGAAGAAGAAGAAGAAGAAGAAGAAGAAGAAGAAGAAGAAGAAGAAGAAGAAGAAGAAGAAGAAGAAGGAGAGAGAAAGATTGGGGGAGAAAAAAGAAAAGAAAGAACAAGTTACTGAATTTTTTACCCCTCTCTATATAAAAAAAGTACAGGCTGAGTGTGGTGGCGCATGCCTGTAATCCCAGCCCTCAGGAGGCTGAGGCAGGAGGATTGCCACGAGTTCAGGGCCTCCCTGTGCTATATAGTGAGCTCAAGGCCAACTTGAATTACATAGCAAGACCATGTTTGAAAAAAAATTTTTTTAAATAAAGAAGTGAAGCATATTATTTCTTGGTGAGTCATCATGAGTTCTTGGTGAGTCTCTGGATTTGTGACATATATGTGTAATACTTGAGTGTGTTGGCTCAACCAGTTTTGGGTGTGTCCTGAAAAGCTGCCTGTTTCTAGTGGATCCCAGGATGATGGAAGACTGTTCTTGTTCAGGCTTTAGGTCACTATGCCCACAGCCCTGAAGCTCAGCAGATCAGTAGCAGATCTACACATTGTGTGGAGATTCTAACAAACCTCAAGGAAAGTATCACAAAAGAGGCAGCTATGGTTTTTGACTGTTGCCTTCTTTGGCAAGTGACTACTTCCCCCTTGGCCTGGTGGGGTCGAACCCCAGATCATGAGAACACTGGTACCCAGCAACCAGAACTTTCCATCATGAACTGCATGGTGGTCTGCCTGGTCCATGTCCTTGGGAACCCACTGTATCCATGTTATAGAAGTGTACCCCAAAAGGCCATATGTTAGAGGATTGGTCCTTAGAGTGATGCTCCTGCAGTTGGTGGAATCTTTAATGGGGAGCCTACTGGGAGGTCACTGGGGTGTGCCCTTGATAGTGGAACCTCAGCTCCTTCCTTCCAACTAATCGTGGACTGGGTCCCTAAAACTGTGAGCCAAAATAAACCTACTCTCTTTAAAAGTTGACTATCTT